CTCAAAAGATGCTTCTACACTAGATTAGAAAATGGAACTTAGAAATTTAGTAGAGGCAAACAGACTGGCCCCAGGCTGCATTCCTGTGTGGACGGCGAACCTCTGGAGGCATGCCCGGAATTTTATGTTCCCACAGGGAGATTGGGCAGTAGTGCGCAGTAACTTGGCTAGAAGTCGGGTAAAAGATAAGACGGTGAGCTGTGGGCAAAGAACATTCTGTTAAGAACATCCTGTGATCCTAGTTTAGAGTCTTCTGCTTGTAGCTTTTTCATATACAGGGCAAGGGGGAGGAGAAAGGAAAAAAGCCTTAATAAAGTGCTGCTGAGCCAGTCTGGATCAGAGAGCTTCTGCAGATCTGTGTGTCATGTCGTTCATTTGAACCCTCAAGCCTTCACATTCCATTGTGTGTGTGTAGATATATATATATAGCTTGCTGATGGAAGTTTTGGAAAAATACTCCTGGCTAACAGTTAAAATTGCTAAGTGTGTAGGGACTGAGGGATTTTTTAAAATGCCATGTTTACGCCTATATAAATACGTCTTGGTAAGGTTGCCAACTCTGCATTTTTGAAATACCTGGAGATTTGAGGATGGAGCATGGCAAGTGGGGTTTAGGGAGGGGAGGGACTTCGGTAGGATATAATGCCATGCAGCCCACCTTCCAAATCAGCCCTTTTCTCCAGGAAAAGTGGAATAAACGTTTTAAATAATAAATAAATGTGATGTATGCAATCTGGAGATAAATTGTAATTTTCTACCTGGAGGTTGGCAACCCTACAACTTGGAGTTTAACAGTAGTAAAAAAGAAATAAAGCCTTAGCCTGTAGTGTACACCATCTTCCAAGAAAAACAGTTCAGGAAGGAGCATAATGTAGCAGATGGTATTTGTAGCTCTTTACAATGAGACAGATGGAAATCCTTGTTGAGATTCCAAGAAGAGGCCACTTTCTAAATCAATAAAGCAGACAGTAAATATTACAACAATATGTCTGGTTAAATAAATTGTCTGAAGAGAGGAACCAAAGAATGTCAATATGAGTAATCCAATATATATTGTTTGCTGGCATGCTTTGCTTTATTTCTTGATACCCAGTATACCTGCTGAATCCATATTTGTTCTGAGTTACTTAAACCAAATATAATTTCATTGGTATTTATAGGAAACCCAGGTGTCTTGATGTCAAAAGATGACTTATAATTGGACACCTTGACATTTTATTTTTTCTATCCAGCGTTGTAATGTCTAGGAACTCACAGAATACTGTCAAGAGTTTGTACCCATGGACTTTCCATGAGTTTAACTTCCTTTGTGCTTACTTCAAGCATCTCATCCACACAAGTCTGGGCCTTTTCACAGAGCAACACTGCCATAAAACAGAGGACAAAAAAGAAATGACAATGCACTGACTGGGGCCTAAGCTTTTGGGAAATTAATCAATTAAAAAGCTCATGAAAGGTTTTTAGCATCCCCAAAGGAATTCCTGATAAGGCAATCTATTTTTTTAAAGTTAATTATGTTCAATATTAGCACTTACAAAAACTGCACATTGCCAGTGACATCTCACATAGGGAATGCCCCTTCTAGTATAGTGTCTGTTATGATATATACACATGCTACAAACCAAAGAAATATTTTTAAGATCAAAATCTATTGTTTTTTACCTAAGCACAATTGCAGATTTTATATATATAACGTGCAATTGTGCTTATGTAATTAATTAGTTAACCAATTTATATATACAATTAATCAACCAAAATTTCTTTGCATGGCTGACAATCACTGACAAAGACCTTATTCATCTGTATATATAAAAGTAAGTCCCCTCACCATAAAATCAATGCCCAGGCCAAACCACTGGACCTGGAAACACCAAACTCGGGGAGAAAGCTCCTACTGTGACGTAGGTGCTCACAAAGAAGGATTTTTAGAAATTCGACCCCTAAGGGGGTCAAATGGGGTAAAATGTGCTCCCCCCATTGATTCCTATGCAGTTGCTAGGTTGCTGCCTCCTTGTACCTCCCACTCTCTGGTCAGCTGCAGAGCTCAGTGTTCTGAGGTTAAAAAAAAAAAACAGTTACAGGGGACTACAGAGAGCTAATGACAGTTGGGGAAATCAGGAGTGGCCGGCCGCCTGTGAGGTGAAGTAAAACTGCTGGCCCAGCCTCCCTATGGCTTCAAACATGCTTCCCCCCCTCCTACACCTGACAGGCAGTTGTCTGTCAGGCACAGCAGCAGTTGCAGGGTGCTTAAAGACATGAGGGAGCCTGCGCTAGCAGTAACACCTTAGTGATCCTGCCAGCCCTACCTCCACAGTGGCTTCTAATACTCCTCCCCCTCCTACACTGGACAGGCCTGTCAGGTGTAGGAGAGGAGATAAGATGCTTAGAGCCACTGGGGAGGTTTGCTCAGCAAGACTGCCTTAGCCCTGCTGCTGGCCCAGCCTCCCTGATGCCTTTAAACATAATCCCCCCCAACACCAGACAGGCGGGTATCTGTCAGGTGTAGGAGCAGGACCAGGGTACTTTAATTCATCAAGGACACCGCCCCAGCAGGGTCACCTTAGCGATGTTGCTGGCCCAACCTCTCTGATGGCTTCCAACATACTCCCCCCACCTCCTACACCTAACAGGTGGTTGTCAGGTGCAGCAGCGGTTGCAGGGTGCTTAAGGCCACGAGGGAGCCCACCCCAGCAGTAATGCCTTAGTGATCCTGTCAGCCCTGCCTCCACAGTGACTTCTAATACTCCTCCCCCCTCCTACACTGGACAGGCAGCTGCCTGTAAGATGTAGGAGAGGAGGTGTGATGCTTATAGCCGCTGGAAGGTTTGCTCAGCAAGATTGCCTTAGCCCTGCTGCTGGCCCAGTCTCCCTGATGCCTTTAAACATAATCCCCCCAACACCAGACAGGCGGGTGTCTGTTAGGTGTAGGAGCAGGACCAGGGTACTTTAATTCATCAAGGACACCGCCCCAGCAGGGTCACCTTAGCGATGTTGCTGGCCCAACCTCTCTGATGGCTTCCAACACACTACCCCACCTCCTACACCTAACAGGTGGTTATCTGTCAGGTGCAGCAGCGGTTGCAGGGTGCTTAAAGCCATGAGTGAGCCCGCCCCAGCGGTCTACAGAGAGGTCCTTCAGTAGAGAGAGAAAAAGTACATATGTCTCACTTCATTTTTTACACTACAGTCTTCTCCATTAGTATTCCTACAACAAATGTTACATTTCAAACTTTACATCATCAGTATTATAACTGGATTTATGGAACTTAAATACCGTAGCGAAGCACGGGTATCAGGCTAGTAGAAGGATATTTTCTTCTTCAGTTTTATAGGCTTCTGTATTTTAGGTTTTATTGTGTCCTGATAGGGGGGGGCTTTTGGGGGGATTAATGCACTCATGGGTAAAATAAGGTAATATCTCTTTGTTTTAATAATTGTGCTTCCCATGGCTATTATTTGATATAGAACTGATATGCTGGGCATATGTAATAGGTGTCTATTCATTGGAACATCGATCCTGTACTGGGAAAGCATGAATAGCACCAGTTCAATTATGACATTACTGTGGGTTCAAACTATTTATTTAACACTCAGTTTAGCACTTGTCTTCCCATCCCAAGGTATGCATATATTTTTGGAGACAGGACTGATTGTATAAACTTGTTTGCCAGTCTGCCTCCTCTTACATCAGACATTTTGACAACAATTTGTAATTGGAAAAAGAGTTTTCTAGCAAAAGTTAAGTTTCTACTGACAGAAAGTGTACGCGGAAAGATTCAGCCTTGTAATGTAGATGGAATAGATTCTGCTTGTGGAAAGTATGTTGATTCCAGTGCCACCTTTATGACTAACAGTGTTTATTTCAGCATAATCTTTTTTGTGTCAGAGGTTACTTCTTCAGATGCTGTCAAGAGGAAACCATTTTCCACATACTTATAAAGAAAATTACAGGAGGAGAGGGGGAAAGTGGGGAGTTGGGCAGAGAGAGGCTTGGTGTGAATCCCATCATAAATTTTCCAGGTGTGATTCTCTGTGAAAAGAGGCTGGAACAGATTGTTATTTATAATGGATGATGAGAGAGGTTGGAGACTCTAGCCTGTCCTTCATGGGATGCAGATCAATGATACTGTAATTAAGTAATGTATTTATTTTTCCATGTTGTAGTATTCATAATCTAACCTTGGCATTGTGTGAGTGAAATGGCATTTTATGTTGCTTTTATTTTCTTATATATCTAATTGTATGCCTTGTTGGAACTGAATTTTTTTTTCATTGTTGAAGAATATAGCTGATCTTTGCCTTGAGAATTTAAAAGTTCTGGCCTTGATTCATAAACCAGTTGGGTTTTGTGGCAGTTGTATAGCCAGGACTGAACAATGAGACTGGAATGCCACATGTCTTAGAAATGACAGAAGTGCCTAGTTCACTTTCTGCTTTGTTGCAGATGGTCTCTTTAACTATCTGGAAATAACACAGGGCAATCCTATGCAGAGTGACTTCAGTTTAAGCCTATTAAAATCAATAAGGTAAACTGGAAGCAACTTCCTCTAAAAACGAGGAGCATGTTGGCACAACTGCATCAGTCAGAGGAACTGTGAACACAAACAGAATAAAGACAATCTAAATTCTTTTTCATGTGAAAAGCGCTACATAAATAATGGTGATTAATCATCATCATTATGGTCTGTAATCATCTGCCTGGAGTACTGTTGGATTTCTGTCTTCTGTACAACCTAAACAGAGTGCTCCATTTTATATTTTCTCAACAGAAACACTTTGAGAATGCTGATCAAATTGTCATTTTCAAAGACAGGCAAATTACTTTTAAGGAGACATATAGTTAATCATTAGCACTTTGAGAACCTTGCTTGTTAAAGGTAAAAGGATAATCTGTTTGTAATGACCTTGCAAAAATTCCCTGCACTGAAGTAAGGAGGCAACAAATAATAATCGTCAGGTTTTTAACTGTTCTCGTCTGAAAAACAGCAGGAGAAGGAAACATGGGGAAGAACCTTTGTGATCCAGCCAAAGGAGGAAATGAAGACAGTGAGATGCGGCTCAAAAAAACCATTGGATATTTTGAAGGGGTTAGCTTTATAATGGGTACGATTGTAGGAGCAGGGATCTTTGTATCCCCTACAGGGGTACTGCAGTACTCTTTACTCAACGTTGGTGTTGCCTTGATCATCTGGATGATCTGTGGTGTGATATCTCTGATGGGTGCTCTCTGTTATGCAGAGCTAGGCACTGCTTTACCATTGTCAGGAGGAGAATACAGCCACATAAAGAGAGCCCTTGGCTCTCCTCTTGCTTTTATTTTTATGTGGACAGCTCTGTTCAATAAACCGGCATCGAATGCCGCTCGGGCCTTGCTGTTCGCTGAGTACGCAATCCAGCCTTTCTTCGGTGAGTGCCAGGCTCCAGAACTGCTGAAGAAAGGTTTAGCTCTGGCTGTTCTCTGGTTTCTTGGGATCCTCAACGGCCGAAGTGTCAAGATGGCTGCTTGGGTGCAGACTATTTTTACCATACTGAAAATGATGGCTTTGTCTGTAATTGCAATTAGCGGGATTGTCCTACTGATACGAGGGAGGAAAGAGAATGTAGCAAGATTTGAAAATGCTTTCAGTGGAGAGATTCCAGATGCTGGTCAGATCGCAGAAGCCTTTTTCCAAGGACTGTATGCATATGGTGGCTGGTGGTCTCTCAATTATATGGCAGGTATAACTCTCCTTTTCTTTCTGCTTAGGGGCAACCACATTTATTTATCTAAACCCTACTGAAATAGAGCTACCTGCCAGGTGCTGGCTAAATGCCTGCCTTCACCACAGACTTAATAATTGTGCAGAGTAGTCCATGTTAGGCCAATTCAGGGTGAGTTTAGGCCACGAGAAACTATTCTTGTAGTTTTTTACAAGCTGTACATTTATATGTTTTGTAAGATATTTTATCTTTTGCATGGGAGAATGTGTCTGTTATTCATTGTGCTGAAGAGCTATTTCTAATAATTCCAGAGCTTAAACTGTATTCATTTCATTGACAGATAAATTTTGTAACCAAGCCTTTTTTTTCCATGTTAGCACTATCAGAAATCCAAGTAGAAGCATGTTTTCTTGATGTCTGATCCAAGTGTACTGTAAGATTCAAGACCTAAGATACATACCTGTAGTTATGTACCTTCTTTCAGTCATGGCCATGATCCACAGTTTCAACGCTCACATACCAGTTTTCTGTAGCAGATATCCTCGTACCACATTATTTTCAGTTCCAGAAAAAGGTCCTCAAAAAGGCTGTGTTGGAGACTAGAGAATCTGCCGTAGTCCCTGTTTGTATCAGGTCTCTGCATGAAGCTGACATCTGCTCCTCTATAAGGTATATAGACAGTATTTGTGTGATAGTGCCTTCTAAATTTTATATTCCAGAGGAGATGAAAAACCCAAGCAAAAATATTCCCAGGACTGTGATGACTGCACTTCCTTCAGTGACTGCATTTTACTTGCTGGTAAATGTTTCATACCTGACTGTTCTCACACCCAAGGAAATTGTCTCCTCAGGTATGATTAGCAGTTTGTATTTTTGACTCAATTAAAGGTTTAATTACACATATATGAGCCTGGCATGGCAGGGAGAGTGGGGTATAAACTGAATAAATAAATATAGAATTCACTAAATAAACTCATAAAGACTTTGACTAATATTGTAAACTTAAATGTAAATGATTGTGAATTCTGTTGAAGAGAGACAGGGCCAAAGCAGTGGTGCTGGTTGAACCATTGTTGGATTTCCCAACCATTTTTTTAATCTGTAAGAAGTGTAGTAGGAGCCATGTTGGTTCCACTTCTGATTTCAACCAGAATATTTGGGGCAGGAAGGATGTTTAAGTCATCTACACCTTTGCGGAAAGTTATATAGTTTATAAAAATTCTGTACCTGTAACCAATATATAGTAAAGATATAAACTTGTCACTAATGATTTGCAAGGTGTTAGTCTGTTCTCTTAAGCTTTGTTACAATTCCCTTTTTGTTTTTACACCTCACACACCTCTTCATTGCTGTCCCTGTCTTCATCATGTTCAAGTTCTTCCTCACGTTTTCTGTCTTCATTCTCAACTTCTTTGAACTCGAACAAATCATTTTCAGTTCCATCCATGGAATCTGAAATACAGCATTTCTTAAACCCTTTAACTAAATTCCTAGATTTATTCTATCCCTTGTTGTGTTTCTTAATCCAATGAAAAAAACAATGTTTACTAGACTTCTTTATTGTACCTGTAGGGGCTAGAGCTTGATCTAGTTGCCAAGAACAATTCTGACTCTAAAGACTTCAAATTGTCTTTAGTGGGCATTTAAGAGGCCTCAGGTAGGGAGGGGAGGGGGTTGTACCTCATGGGTTCTTTTGCTTCTCTCTGTCTCCCTCTCTTGGAGCCAGCCCATAGTTGTCTTCTTCCCAGCAGCATCTATTCTCCCTGTCCCCAGCTCCAAGGCCCATGAGACCTTCAGTTCTCATGGGGCTCTGTTTCCATGGCAACTGATCTGAAAACACTGGGCCTTGACCTTGAATTTCTTTTGGCTGTCCTGAGTTCTTTGGGTCATGTGCCCCTGAACCAGCCCTCGGTCAAACCCCAGCTGGCCGCTGTCACTCACTCATTGGTATGGCCCCACCAGTCACTGAAGGCAAGTGGGCGGGGGAACCAACTCTGGACAACCACACAACATGTATACTTGTATGCAAATTTAAGGTGACATCCTCTTAACATCACACCTGACATAAACTATGATAATTTTATGTGAGTTTCCTTTCTAGCAATAGCACACTATAGCCATTACTGGCCTTCTGATTGCTTTTGCTCAGTGATCCCAGATTGCCACAACGAGAGCCCATTCAGTATAAAATATTTCTTTGATGCCGTTGGTTGTATATAATACAGTAGTTTTATAATGGTGGGAGGTGTACTACTTCGGAAGCTCTTTTTGGTACAATGATTAAAAGGTACAGGAATACTGCCATACATTAAATGTAGGAGTCCCAGGTCAATGAACTTCAAGGATTGGAGCAGGAGGATTTTTAACAGGATTGGGGGCGAGGGGCAGGACAGGTGTTGAACTGTATGTCTCCGACCATTTTTGAAGGCTCTGGTCTTTGTGTACCCACATTCGCAAGCAAAGTGGATGAGTATGGGAGACAGGGCTTTTTTCTGTTATGTCAAGACTAGAATTTTCTCCCCACAGAGGATCAGCGGGCAACAAATTGGCTGCCTTTTAGGTAGCAAATGAAAACTTTTTTTCTAAGCCTTTGGTTCGTTGTTCATGTCCTCCTTGCAGTACTGTTTTATCACTTCTTTTTATTGTTTTAATGTTTGGTTTTTAAGCTTATTATGCTGCTTTTTAGCTTTTGTGTTTTTTTCTTCCTGCTTGTTGTGTTTTTTAGAACTGCTGTTTTTGTCTATTTCTGTGCTATGCTGCTGGCTTTCTGTTGTTTTTAATCTGCTGTGGATTTCATGACTGTTGTAAACCACCTGGACTATATTTTGTTGGGAAAGTAGGATATAAGTAAACAAATGAACAGAGACTCACTTGCTGATCCTGCAGTGGATTAACCAACTGGCAAGGCTGCTGAGCTGTTAGCACAAGTCATCTAATAATTTTGATTTTTTTTGCAGTTGCTGTAGCAGTCACTTGGGCTGACAGAGTGATCCCTTCGATTGCATGGATTATTCCTGTATCTGTGGCCATTTCAATATTTGGTGCCCTTAATAGCAGCATGTTTACACTCGGACGATTAAGCTATGCTGGAAGTCAGTCTGGACATCTGCCCATTATAATATCCATGCTTAATGTCCACTATTGGACTCCAGCGCCAGCCATGATTTTCTCAACTGTTATTGCATCCATTTTTATTATCCCATCAGACCTAATTGCTTTAACCAATTATTTTGGATTCTCTGTCTGGCTCATGATTGGATTTACATGTGCTAGCCTGATTGTCCTCCGGTACCGAGAACCTAATCTACACAGACCATATAAGGTAAAAGGGAATAAATTAAAATATGTAATAGAAGTGTCTAAAAGCATTTTACCATGCATAATGTGTGGGTCTTCCAAACCTTTCCAAGTTAGTTATGCCATGCCCATGATGCATAGACCATTTCATTTAAACAACCTTAGCACCACTAATATCACTGACACTGCAGCACTGCAGTCTCCAAACCTGCAAACTCCTGGTGCTTAAATTGAATTATCCAAGGAATCTCAAAGAATAAGATAAGCCTCTTTAGAGGAGTGCATGCGATGATCATGGGAACAAGTTTACTGTGATATTGTAACATGTTCCCCACTTCTTCAAAGAACAGGATGTATTGGAAGCAAGTGTTTTCCTTTGTTCGATCCCTCTGGAGGACAGACTACTGAGTCTTACAGCATTCCGGCAATATTTACTTTATTAGTAAATATGCAAGTATGCAAATGGAGCACTGATATAGACAAAGAGGCATTCCCACAGGACAGGAGATCCACTAGTCCACATCAGATTCACAGGAGGAGGTCCTGTAATATCAGCTGATACTCAGCTGTCTGTCTGCTTCCCTTGCTGTTTCTTCACACACACAGGCATACATCTCTCTTCACTCACCTATGAGGGAACACCTTCCCCGGACTCTGATGGGAAGTAGAACAGAATCACTGGATGACCCTCTTCTCCATCTTGGCCAAAACCCAGATCTATTCCAGCCACTAAAATGAGAACATGGGTTGGATGCTTTGCTTAAGAATTGGAAATATCTAATTATCTGGCCATGTACATGGGGAGAAGAGTGAGGGAAGAAGGAACACACAAGTCAACGATAGTATTATCAGTAAGAACAATATAATACGGCATTGTCAATACGTATGATGCGTTAAAGAGTACAAGGAGACAGCTTTGTGCCCCAATGAGCTTACAAGCGTTTCCCCCCCCCCAATACAAAAATCTACAAAAGATAATGCCACATCTGTCCCTGACGGATAGCCCAGGCAAGCCTGATCTCATCAGATCTCGGAAGCTAAGCAGGGTCGACCCTGGCAAGTACTTGGAAGGGTGACCTCCAAGGAATATCAGGGCCAGGACACATAGGCAGGTTATATCAAGACACCTCTCTGAAAGGTCTGAGCCCCATTAGGGGTTGCCTGAAGTCATCATGTCTTCCAGGCTTGCAAGCACACACACAGACACACAAAATGCTCACCAAAAAACAAACAATAACCTCCACATCCAACATAGGATTTGTTCCAGTCAATGAGTTTCACTCAGTCTCACCTAATTCCCTTCCTTATTCCAGCCCCCATTCCAATGCTTTTTGTCCATTCAGATCCCATGGTCCCTGAATATTCTTCTTGGTGGTCAAAGGGAACCTTCCTCCTCTCTTTCATCAGCAACAAAGCTTATCAAATCCAAATAATGTTTATGTTGGGTATCATAGAATAACTAATTGATATTACAGATTCCACACTTTGTTTCACAGCCCAATATTGTTCAATTTTTTGTTTTCAGAATTCTGACATGCATTCACTTTCCTATTCAAAATGTTAACCTATATATTAGTTTTAACTATGGCAGTCTCAAAAAGGGAACAGTGCAAATGGAAGAGAGGGAAGTGGAGATGAATATGTATTGACTCCTGTAACAGATGTTTAGGCATCTGTCTTTGTGGCAGATGAGAAAGAAAGGATGAATTTATAGGACCAAAACTTAGCTAACTGTTTTGTTCTCCTTTAGAGGCGATCAACTGCACAGGAGCATGAACAGAGATATCACATGGAGATAGTGAGCCAGGGCTGGGGATGAGAGAAACAGATGGTTCATTGGAAATTTGAGCAAATGAGTCATGTGTTAAGGACAGGGATCAGCTGAAGGCAGAAACTGCAGAGGTTAAGAAGTGAAGAAAAGAGAGAAAGGGGGGCAAAGCTTCCAACATTCTTCCCCCCACGTATTGCATGTTGTGGAAGCAGTAAGAAGCCACTTAGGAAAGGTTGGCCATGGGCAATGGTGAAGGAGATAAGGTGATCAGTCAGAGAGGGGTCTGAGACATAGCAGTTTTTGATTAAGATGGTCAAGAGAGTGCCCAAGGCAAGTCTGTCCAAAGGTGGAGATCAATGGAAGAAAGTAGCAGTGGGAAGCAACAGGATCAGAGGGAGATTATCATCATGAATGTTGACATCATCCAAGAGCTGCATCTCTGTGCAACTACTGGAATGCATTGGTCAAGTTGAGCAGCTGTGCTGGTCTGGAGCAATAGAACAGAGTCCAGTGGCACCTTTAAGACCAACAAAGTTTTATTCAAGTTTTATTGAATAAAACAAAGTTTTATTCACATGTGTACACTAAAGCTCACACCTTGAATAAAACTGTTGGTCTTAAAGGTGCCACTGGACTCTGTTCTATTGCTTCAGACCAGCACAGCTGCTCAGCTTGACCAATGCATTCCAGTAGTTGCACAGAGATGCAGCTTTGTTCTGTTGGAATGCATTGGGTTGGTTACATATAGCACAGAACTGGCTGCATCTCCTTGTTTAGAAGACATTTGTGGGAAGGCAAACCATAGTTCTCTGTAATATCAGAATCAAACATTTTGGGGGGGGAAGATATGTAAATGATGTTAATGTGGTAATGTGGAAGAAAACAGAGACAGAGAGTACTCCATCTTTCTGTGTTATACCTCTGAGGATGCCAGTCACAGCTGCTGGCAAAACGTCAGATCCTGCAATGCCAAGACCACGGCCATACAGCCCGGAAAATCTACAATAACTAATAAAAATTAATTCTACATCCCAATCAATGCAGGTTTTACAGTCACATTGATAACGATGCTTGAAACAAAGCCAATATAAGTGTTCCATGTAAACATGATGGAGTAGTTGTTGCTACTGTGCAAGGTGACTGCAAGCCCACCATGAATTTTTAGGATTTATGATGGAAATGCAGCTTTGGAGAGATTGTGCCTGAGGCTACTTCAGTTGTGTGCACAGATTGGAAAATAGGCTGCTGGGAACTCAAGACCCTGTGTACAGAATATGAAAAAAGGACTTTGTGTGTATGTGTGTGTGTATTTACTCAATGCTTGTTTATATATCTGACTTTTGCTTTCTCAAACCTCTTTTTCTACTCTGCAGGTTTTTTTACCAGTTGCATATGGAATGGTGGCAGTTTCTCTGTTCTTAGTTTGTGCTCCTATAGTTTGGTCTCCAAAGGTGCAGTACATATATGCACTCCTTTTTGTGCTTGGGGGTCTTCTCTTATATGTGCCTTTTGTACATTTTAAAATACATTTTGAATTTGTTGACAAAATTACCTGCCATCTGCAGTTGTTGCTGGAAGTTTCACATGCTAATCACAAATATGAGTAATTGCTGTCATGTATACTGTGTGTTTATTTTTAAAGGCATCTCTCTAAATTATGCGCTATTAGTAGTCATAAAGCTAAGTAAAGTCTTAAAGAAAATCACAGAGGTAAATATTTTAAAATGAGCACACTCCATAATATTTTTCTACATTCTGTGCTCTCCGTTTCAGTGTTTTAAATTTGAAAATATTGTTTGTCAAGTATCTATTTTTAAAAAAATACTGAAAAGGCTAGTACTTGCAGATATATTTTGCCCTTTACAAAAAGCTGAAAGTGTTAAATTACTTTGGTCCTAAAATCACAAACTAAACATAATTGAAATAAACCATGGTTTTGTGTTATGTCTGAACCAAGTCAGAGTTATGCATAATTCAATAAACGCAAACTGTAAGCTTCTTAAGTAAGGGATGTATCCTTTTGTTTCGTTTTGCAAGTTTTACTCTGCAAAAGGCCTTACACATTGATGGCACTATACAAATCAACCAGTAAATAAGAAATAATCATAGTTTTACTCATTTAGGGCAATCCCTGAATATGCTTGTAATGACCACCTTGAAATATCCAACCTTTTTAAGGACATGCTGCCTATTTTAGACCTTTCTTATATAATGTCAGTCGCTTAGCAGCGACTTGCAGAGCTTCCCATCATGAAACAGGCACCAAAAGATGCTTCTAAGGATATGATGTATGGTCATTCACTGGATACCAAGTATAGTTGTTTTTTAAACTAAAGAAATCTTTTTGAACCTGGGCATACATAGTGAATGTTCTCTCTGCAATCCAGATATCCTGCTTCCCATCAAAAAAGTTCACTCACAGCTTTCTCCTTAGTTTTTTCAGGACAAAATCCAGAAAAATAGCAACCAAAAAAGGCCTGAGCCAATCCCAATATTTTAAAAAAGCAAAGACTCTCAAGGTGGGAACCAAGAGCCACCACTGAGAATGCGCATGAATGGATCTTAATGTGTAATGTTGTCTTTAGTGTTGGGAATTATTGCTTTATTTGATCTCTTTCCTGAAGGCTCAGGGCGGCATATTACAACAATAAAACAACAATTGCATATAACAATACATAGTATATGAGAGAATAAAATCAGCCACTGGCCATTCATAAATAATGAATAAAATAGAGAAGTGAATGGGTGGAAGAGTTCCGGGGGGGGGGGCAAAAGAACAAGATCAGAAGAAGGCCTCCCTAAGCAAGACTGACTTGCAAGCCCTGCAGAAGGTCCCACAGGGCTCAAACCTTGTCCGGCAAGGCATTCCACCAGGACTGGGCCAAGGTGGAAAAAGTCCTTGTCCTGGTGATGGCTAATAGCTAAGCAATAGCTAACCCAATGAAATACCACAGGGATACTTTTTCTGCACAAGCAGGGGAAAAACAAAACTTGCACCTGTCTTGCTCTGGATAGGGTTTAATTTTTTTAGTTACATACAGAGATGCTGTCTAAAGACAGAAAAAAGTGCCTCTTCTGCTGTCCAAGGCAATGATTCACATTATTTTGTGTTACATCCAGCTGTGCCTAGTACATGAAAGAAGTCCTCCAGAATTATGGTGATTACACAGCAGTGTTATAGGCAGATGTCTCAGGACAGATGTTTGGGATTGGAAAACCAGGACTGTTTGTAGTAAGATTATGTCTATGAATCTGTCCGCTAGATGGTGCCACTCAAACACAGCTGCTTTGAATAATCAAAGTGGATTATAGTGTAGCATTAAATCATCCTCCCCCCCAAACATAGTAAAATCATTCTTTAGTTCAGGAGCTTAAAAGACAAAAGGAAACAGACTCTACACTTGATCTTAGTCAAAAGACCAAGAAAGCTCAAATGCAGGTTGGTATGGTGACGGTGAAAATCTTATAAAGTGATTGAGGAACTACATAATTTCACTGGGATTACCCCATTCAGTAGAGGGGTGTGTGAGTGTGTGTGAGAGAGAGAGAGCGCAAGGTGGTCAGCCTCAATGATCTGCACATATAAGAAAAGTGCCAGTGTGATTGCCATTCAAGTGTGCCACTGCCTGGCTTTTCATGCAGTTAACAATGGGATATCCTTTGTCCCTCTAGGCCAGTGGTTCCCAATTTTTTTCCAGGCCACTGTCCCCTTGGTTCCATAAACTCATCCCTTCTGCCCCCTACTCTACCCTAGAAAAAAAAGCATTATTCTGAACAGCGGTTTGCACAACCCGGTAAGGAAGATCATAACAATAAAATTCAAAACAGTTAAAATCAATTACACATTTATTCAAAATCCAATTAAAACTTTTTAGTTTAATTTATTCAACAAAATCAATGAACTTGATCCAGTGATACCAGCTTTTCACAGCTTGGTAGTCGCTTAGGAAGAATTTGAAACCTCATTTAGCTACTACTTCACTGTTCAGCAGATTCTAAATGTGATGGATGGGCTTGATGAAGTGATATCAGTTTCCCAACGTCTGGTTTAAAGTCCCTTAGCAGGAATCTTAAATCACCATGTCTAGTAATCGAGTTGATTTCTTTGCTTGGAGAGAAGTTGGATAACCACACTAAAACCACGTTCCACCAATTTCCAGGATGCTGGAAATTCAACAAGGAGTTTCTTAACCACTGTCCATAGTTCAAGATAGCAATCAGAAATTTCCTTCTGTAACCAAAGCTCTTGGTATAATTTCTTAAACTTTGGCTTCATCTCAGTGTCATTTCATAGTTCAGTTAGCTTGCTCCACTAGCCCGACTTCTCAATATCTGAAAATGGATTATCACCTAATCTGGAATTTCCAGTGAAAGAAAATCCTCTTCACTGAGACATCTTTATGCAGCATATCTAAATGACCACAATAACCTGCAGATCAACATCTTGTATCCCACCTTTCTCTTCTAGGTCAGACATGCTCAGAAATTAGTATAGTTCGTGAGAGCCTATATTACGTTTGAATAGAGTTAACTTGGAAATAAATGTGGAGATGATGTATTTGGCCTTAATAAGATTGACCTAATTTCCTTGCAACTGCAAATTCATTTAATTGAACTTTGCAAATAATTTTGATACATAAGCAATGTCATGCCTGATCTCTTTGAGTTCATCACTGAGCAAAGTGTTTGTGTCTTCAAAAGAACTCCGCAAAAACTCCACAAAAAGATCATAAAAGCATCTCAACCAGTTGACTTTTGATAGCTGATGAACTTCAGTAGGAAACAGCAAACTTCAAAGTCTTCATCATTCCCAACACAGAGCTCTCAGAATAGTCAATCATTGAGATAATGGGCTTTAATTGTATTCTACAGTAATGACAGTGTGTAAGGACTTGTGGAGGTGATTACTGAGGTGTTTGCACCAAACATTGACAATGAATAACACAATGAATGGTAAAGACATTTGGCACTGCTATTTCGAGTAAGCAACACACCCACAGTAGTGACCAGTCATTGATGATGCTCCATCAGTTGCACAAGTAAATATGATAATAAACGGGAACTTCTTTATCTTTGAAGAACTGCTCATTAGGGTTCCCAGTCCCCTGGTGGGGGCAGGGGAACTCCCGCTTTCATGGGCTCTTGTCCACCAGCAGGGGAAAATCCCACCTCCAAATGACCTTCCCAAGTGACTTCCAGTAAAAATGGAAGTGCAGGCCCTGATGTGATGATGTCACCCAGTAGTGACGTCATCACATCGGGGACATTGGGGAGGTAACACTCTGGTTTGTGGGCAAAACTCTATGGTTTGATGCCAAATTTACTATAGAGTTTTGCCCAAAAACCAGAGTGCCGCCCCCGACATGATGGTGTCACTTCCCGCTGATGGCATCGTGTCACGGCCTGCACTTCCAGTTTTACCAGAAATTGCCCAACATCACTCCCAGTCTCCTGGAAGGATGTCAGGAGTCCCCCGCCAGCCAGGTAAGTGGACCTGGCAACCCCACCTTTAGTACCTGTTCTTAGTTGCCTTGCAAATAGCAACTCTTGAGCTAAACTTTTATCTTTTATAAAGCACACATAAGAAGCAAACATTTTTGTCTGGCAAAGAACTAAAGAAGATCAAAGAACTGACTGTGAGACAAGAGAACTGAATAACAGCAGCTATTATGAAACCAATGCCACCAGCACTTTACTATACTGTGGTTTAAAGGGTTTTAGAATTGTTTTAATCTAATTTATATATTATGTTTTATTGTAATTATGTGTTGATTTTGTGTAAGCCACCCTGAGCCGGCCTTGGCTGGGAGGGCGGGGGTAAAAAAATTCAATAAATAAATAAAAGTTGACTCATCCAACTGTAATGCAAATTTTGTTGTCCTTTGTATGCTGCACAATGTATCTTCCACATTTTCAGCCCATTTAATGGTTTTCTATGGTGGTGCTGCTCTTCAGACTTTTTGTGCAGATCTCCAGAAGCTGCAGGTCTCCTGAGGCTCCTCAGATCACCCTGTTCTCTGCCCTTGAACCCAAATGGGTCCTGTCCCCTTTTTTCTCTTAATAGCCTTCTCCTTTCCCTCAGGACTTTCCTACAGCTCCCTCTCAGGGACAAAATACCTCCCCCCAACTTCAGTAAAGGCCAAACCCACATCATTAGATTATACAAGAAAGAAGACCCGCGAAACTCGCGGGGGGGGAGCTTTAAACTGAGCCGGTGGAGGAGGAACCAGCAGGAGCAGGTAAGCTCTCCCCCCCATCCCGCCGGGTCCTCCGTCTCCTCCACCACCACCCCGCGCTCGGTCTCCCCCCCCCCCCCCCCCCCCCCCCACCC